AATAATATACATATTCAACAAACCTCAACGGATTCTCCTCTGCAGATACCGTAACCAAACCAAAATAAGGTGGTACAATTACCAGCCTGAGGATAAAGCGCAGATCACTACGCCTCAAAATCGATATCGTCACAACCAATATCGACGGCACACTGTTGGCAAGCTGTCTTCTACAACATATGCCTCCCCGGATGACAGTAGATAGCGTTGTTTCAACAGTTCCCAGACGTAGTAACTGTCAACGAACCGCATGCGACAAAGCTATTTGGGTAAGTTTTTAAAACACCCAGTATCCGAGTTATAGGTACAAGCTTATACTTCCCTGGCATCGGAAGGCATGGGTACCAGACATCGATGATTTTTTCTTTCGTGGATAGTGATCGGTTTGCTTCAATGCGGAAACTATTTGGCTTACTTAGGGTTATGGTTGGAAGGCACTGTCGGGTTGAGGGTAACGTATGGCGGCAAAACGCCAGCAGCAAGTTTCATGTTGTGCTATCATCATATTAGAAAGGATGTATGTACGTATCATACATCCATGTATTTTTCGCCACAGACTCTCTTCGAACAGCTGACAACTGTTTAACTGAATAGCTCGTTTGTACAATGCAACACAGTGGCTTTTTGTTTAGTATACTACGAACACAGCTCCCTGCAAACTGCAAATACTGCGCCGTACGGGCCCGCGATTCGCTTCTTATCTTACGGCCACTGTAGTTGTATGTTACCCGGAAGTGGGCTATAGGCGCACCATTCGGAATGGTTCGGTTTAGTAATGTAACCAATATCCAACTACAGACTGCCAGTGGTTGGCTTGAAACCGGATGCAACATTCTGATTCACCGGAGCAAGTCAAAAAAGGTGTCCGCCACGCCCAGTGGCTTATTCGGGAATTTAAGATGCATACGTCATATCAGTGTGACCGACGGTAAAACTTATAGTGTGACGGATACGTATGATTGTTGCCCGGTCCGCAAAGGGTGCGTCTCTTGATTTTGACCTAAACCGAAGCACAAAATCCCAGCACAGTGTGTCCAGGAAGTCTGTGTGTTCCATATTTTCGGGCCAAGTTGGAGAATACTCGGGAGCCGTAAACGTTTGACTACTACGACCAACGTTCCTGAGTGCTAGCAAGATGAAAAAGAGAAAAACGACTTTATATAACCCTTTATCAAAAGTTCAGCTGTTATTGAGAATTCATGATTTTCATGTAAGTCTCGTATTTATATAAGGGATACAGTAAGTAGGCGCCCTAAATAGCCGCTGAAGGTGGCATTGTGAAGCAACCCTCTCCGACATTACAGCTGCTTAAGTGCTCTCATTTCAGCACAGGTATTCTTCCCAGTTTTTTATCCGCCTGCCTCATGGTAATATTTCCATAACCTAACATTTCTTCTCATTTCAGGATGTCAATAGCCCAGGGAACACCTCACACGAAGTACTTCATGCGCTTCCCTGCAGGACATACGCTATCATCAAAACAACCATCACACCTCAATCTTTTGTTGCCTAATTTGTACCTTTTCTCCGGTAGAAATGGACGAGGATCGTGGATCCTCAGCCACAAGTTAGTCGTGAGCGTCAGCTAGGTTCGTTCAGCTCCCCGCTATGATTGACGTAGTTTTCATGTGGCTAGTTGATCAAATTCCAAGGGTATTTCGTATGCCACATTGGAACGCTGCTGTTTAAAAACAAAGTTGCACCATTTTTCCGGCAGTAGTGAACGAGGATTCCGCAAACATCGAGCAAATTACACCTCCGCATATTTTGCATCCACAAGGGCCGTGTAGATTCTAGAATGTTCGGCAAATTATTTCAGCATCAAAACGTTCCATTCATTGTAATTTAGTTACCTTTTTCCGCCATTCGCCATTCCTTATCACATTAGGCAACAACCACCACCGACTGGTGGTTATTGACCTTCAAGATTCGCTCAGTCGAATAAATCATTATTGCAGATAATTTGTATAATAATTCACCATACACTATATACACATACAGCTGTATTATGGAGTGGCAACCCTGAACATCTCATAACTTTCAAGAAATCAATTCCGTTGTACGGCGGCCCGCGATCGATACTCGTGCAAATTTAAATAATTGCCAAACTTTGCTCGGAATATAAGCCTAAAAGATCAAGCAACCAACTATATTTTTTAGATCCGCTTGCACCTTTTCCGTGTTTCTTCGTGTGTTTATAAGGCGTTTCGACGTTTGAAAGGACAGGATTCCCGTCGCTTCTAATTTGTGCCTCCGTTTTACTGCTCAGTTTAAAAATTTGGCGCTCATCCCGGGATGTCGCTCTTGAGGTTAGTTGTTGCTTTTCTTCGATCCTTTCTGTTTGTTTAGCCACCTCCCTACTCCGGTGCACAAGAAATACGATGCGGATGCTGTTGCGCCACTTCCATTGTCATTGGGTTCCAGGGTACTTGTTGCGAAATCTACGATCCCTCCGTATGGTCATCGAAAAAATTGGGTTCCACGCACACCGGAAGACTTTAGTGATGGCGGCGCATTTCCAGAGATACATATCCCACAATTTCCCCTCGAAATGGGTCAACAGAAGACCTCTTCAAATGCGCTCGTCCTGAAAACTGATCAGGAAGGTCGAATACGTTACGATGAGCTGGTCCGTCAAGGCCACAGCAAAGACAGAATTATTTACTCTAAGTTTACTGACTTACTGCCGAAGACGATTGACGACAATGATGAGGATCTAAGGAAACCCAGCCAGGATGTGATTGAAGAGGTAATCTCGCCTTTCAAACTTACAGTTGCTCCAGACTACCGAAAAAACGCGGAAGGCGTTGGAATCCTTAGTTGAGCAGAAAGTGGCGGCAGCAGCTCCTGTTCGAAGGGCTGAGAAAACAGCCCCAGCGGAGTACATACGGTACACACCGACTCAGCAAGGTTTGGCCTTCAACAGTGGCGCAAAACAACGCTTAGTCCGGATGGTGGAGATGCAGAAAGACCCAATGGAACCTCCTAGATTCAAGTATCTCTCTTTTTTGTATAAACTGTTTTCTAGGATAAATCAGAAGATACCCCGAGGACCTCCATCTCCACCCCCACCACTCATGCATTCACCCGCGCGGAAAGTTACCGTCAAAGAGCAGCAGGACTGGAAAATACCGCCCTGTATTTCAAATTGGAAAAATCCACGAGGTTATACGATACCCCTGGATAAACGTGTAGCGGCGGATGGTCGGGGATTGCAGACTGTTCACATTAACGAAAACTTTGCCAAGTTGGCAGAGGCTTTATATACTGCTGACCGAAAAGCCCGTGAGGCAGTCGAGATGCGAGCGCAGATTGAGCGCAAAGTTGCTCAAAAACAAAAAGAACGTAAAGAAGAGCAGTTGCAGCGCATCGCGCACCACGCCCGAGAATTTAGAGCTGGGCTTCGGCGCCCAGGCTTGCAGCCAGACGAAGAACTGGATGCGGACCTGGGCCTAGACGATAGAGAAGAACTGCGAAGAGACAGAGCCAGAGAGCGCATTAGAGAACGCAATTTGGCACGTTCCAATATCGAAACAAAGGCACGAGCACAAAAGGACAAGGAGCGTGATATCAGTGAACAAATTGCACTTGGTTTGCCAAATCCTCGGGTAAACGCAGACGGTGAAGCACAATTCGACCAGCGACTGTTCAATCAGTCCCGTGGTCTCGACTCTGGATTTTCAGGAGGTTAGTTCGTGCTTTCCTGCTTACACTCTTCTTTCTAGGGACAGATGACCTGTACAATGTATATGACAAGCCTTGGCTTGGTGACTCTGAACTTGCATCACATATCTATCGGCCACGACAAAAAGATAGCGACGCCTACGGGACTGATCTGGATGCACTACAAAAAACGAGGCGGTTTGTGCCTGATCGAGAGTTTGCTGGTGCTGATCATGGTCGCCGGCTAGACGGTCCTGTCCAGTTCGAACGTGACGAAGAGGATCCTTTCAATCTGAGCAAGTTCTTATCCGAAGCCAAGAAGGCGCAGAAGCGACCTGGTGAAAACATCTCAGCAGATGTAAGCAACCGAGACACTACGCACAGGAAACGTGAACGTAGGGACTGACCCGTCGTTTGTCTTTCTTACTGTACATATCCTTGTTTTTGCTTCATATGTATTGACTTCCAACCCCCACCCATTTGTTTTTACAGCTTGGGAAATTGGCCAGTGACTACGACGTTCTAACGGACGCCAATCAGGTTAGTCGAGAGGCAGATTTGAGCAGAAAAATTATAGGTAGTTCGACTGATACCAAGCATGAGCACATGGTGTGCCAGGACGCCCACAGCTAAAACCACCCAGCCACACGGATGCCTAAAGCACGTCTGCTGTTCGTTAATTTTGATCTTGACCAAAAGTGTGGCTATCGGAGTCGGGGCCGGGGCATCAGTCTTCGTGCTTCCTTCAGATGACGGTAACTAGGCACCGAACGGGTGCCACCGCTGAGCGATTAAGAGTATCGTTATTAAAGGTGCTTCTGTATCCAACGACTTATTTTGCTGAACCTTACACTTGGGTGCCCCCTGCGCTGCTGTTGATGCCGTGCACTTCTCAGCTGGCTATTCAGGCAGAACCCAACGTTGCTGGAGTATATTATTATTCAAGGTGATCGGTTCGTGTGAACCTGTGAATCGGCCTGTACAGCATTCATGCTGTGTCGCGGTTTTTCTAGTGTTCGCGTTATGAGTTTTGTATCCTAGTTTCTATGAAAAAACGCTCATAGCCATAAAATACTTGTCGGGGACTACCCAGGAGACAAAGTACACTTGTGAACTTGAGAACAGCTGCCTTACCGCCGATAGCGAGTGCGACTGTTCGTCTCCACGGGGACGCCCCGTTTTATTGACCCACGTGGATCGTTCCCTAGCTCGTAAAATATCTCAATCGTTGGCTGTTGATATGTTCGCCGAACTTGTCAATTTGCCTCCCAGACGTTTCGTCACCAGTTGTGGGGACATCAGCGTGTGCACTGGCGTCCCCAAGACTGGTGAAGGAACGTCTGTAAGCAAATTGGCAGTGTCGGCGAACAGACCCACGACTACTTGATCTACAATCAACTAAAGCACCTGAACTACCAATGTTTTGGTATATTGCCACTATCTCACTCGGATGACTGGAAAAGTTCTGGTTATAAAGTGGCTCATTTTATTGTTACGTCGAGTGACGACGGCCTTGTGTTTGGGGACATAATCACGTTCGGCGCTCTGTGTTGTGTACATTCCAGGCAATAGACTGAATTCATACATGGACACTCGAGTTATGCACATTTCATTGTATTTCCAAACCGTAGAACTTGAAAGAGTAGTGCATGATAGTAATGTATATAGTAGAGGTCGTGTAGAACAGCCCACCGGTCCCCGGAACCCTATTCGGCAGTGCTACGCTTCACCTGAAAACGTCGATCTGTGACGAAACGTATACTAACGAATTGCCTAGCTGGGTGAGTGAACTGATGGTCATCTATTCCCCTGAGCTACCAATAGTTCAGCGTAGCGAGATGGCCGAAGTGGTTAGAGCGCGAATTTACTGACCGGAAGGTCCGTGGTTTGAACCCGACCTCTGCCCCTCGACTTCCCCTGTCTAGGCTTGGGTGACCTGGCAGTATCCCAGCCCCCGTGCAACCTTCTGGTGGCTTAGCAGTTGGGCACCGAAATGATGCTACAGCTGAACGAGCTAGCTGTGACTTCCGTATAATTTGACTCAGCTTGCGGTGTGAGGACTCATGCTCCGAACTGTCAATTTCTGTCGAATTTCCTTTGGATTGCAGGGACAGCTGAGTTGTTCCACGCAGTCTTTCAATTTTTGGTCCAACCTGTCAGCCGTGTTTGGCAACAGCTTGGTGTAGCCAGGATGCTCCAACACGTAGAGGTCTGTACTCTGGAGTGTGTGAAAAATGATTGTTCAGCTGTAGCACCCCAACTGCCATGCCAACAGGAGGAAGCACGAAGGCCAGGATACTGGCAGGTTGCTCGTGCCTAGACACGGAAAGTCAAGAGTCAGAGGTCGGGTTCGAACCACGGACCTTCAGGGCAGTGTATTCGCGCTCTACCCATCAAACCACCTCACCCCTTTGAAGTATACGACGCTTCTCAAACTATCGGTCGGATTTAGTCTTCGGTCATAAGTCTTCCGCGCACGATTGTGCTAGTTACGGTTGCTTGCTTGTTATCCGTAACTTTTTGATGAGTGAACACTTCAAGGCCCCAGACCAAGGTCTTTCAGCTGTAACACCCTTCCGGTGCCTAGCTGCCGTGCTATCTGATGGAAGCAAGGGGGCTGGGATACTGCCAGGTTGCCCAAGCCTAGAGAGGGGAAGTCGGGAGGCGGGGGTCGGGTTCGGACCAAGAACCTTCCAGACGGTAAATTCGCAGTCTAACCATGTGAGCCATCTCCCCCCCCCCCAGACCAAGATGCTGAGACTATCGGGCCCTCGAGTACGGACGACGTTGCAGCGTTTTGGCGATTTGTGCAACTCCATAACCCGATGAGCTACCCTGGGGTTTGTACTTGTGCCGAAAAGCCTGTTATCAGGTTAGTCAATAAATAGAAGACCGACAAACAACATCCTGTTTGCTATCTTGGGGTCGGAACGTGCGTAGGGACTTAATTCTTAAGGGCGTTGACTGCCCCGGCTTCAGGAGCGCCATCTTTACCTACTTGCACGTCGATATCCCCGGCAACCACAACAATATCGGAGCTCTTGGTCCGCTGCAACAGGGAGCTCAAAGGGGCGTGATCGTATTTAGGAGTATCACATCTGCAGTCTGTTGGGGTGTAAGTAGATACAATGAACAGCCACTATTGGAGCCTCTATGGTATACCTTCAGACGTTGTCAAATGAATCGCACAGAGGCGCGATTATCAACGAACGGGCACTAAAGCAGACTTCCTTGCCCTAAATGACTTAAAACGATACTAAACATTGCAAAATGATCCGAGACTGCTTCTGGATCACCAAGTGTTCAACCGGAAGCTACAGGAACCCGATGGGGAAATCAGTCGAATACCCTCAAGTGGGTCTTGAATTATCGTTTCACATCAATACACTTCAACAGAAAGCAGGTCCATGCAAGAGCAAACATTAAAGGCTGTCAGATGCTTAAGCTTCGGGGTTTAAAGAATGATTTCGAAGTGTCTACGGTCGTTGCGGTTAAGGTAACCGTAGATATAACAGCTAACAGCAATGAGCGGCGAATAAATGTGAGTTCTTATGAATGGTCCTAAGGAGACTTCGATAGAAAAAGTGTGTAGGGGAAAAGGATAAATATGTGTAAGAGGACGAAGAGGGAGTTGTCTTACGTGGGAATGATGTGGATCAGCCTGCTCGGTCTTAGCGTTTAAGAAGAATTTTTCCTGACATCCCTGTGTTTTGCTTCCTTATTGTTACGTGGATGTTTAGGGTTTTCCGCCGCATCATCATCACCATCAATGACAGCAACATCAGTGTTGGCACTGATGCTTCACTGCCGTACTTCCTTTCGCCGCCACTGTCTTCGATACACCTTGATGGTCAACTGGAGGCATCCGGTCTACATTGAAGCGTGTAAACGAGTACTGTATAATGAGCCAACCAGTTCAATTGATGAACCGTACATTGAAGCCCAGTAGTTTCAGCTACTACAGCTCCATTTACCGAAGTTTCGGAGAATAAGGGAACGAACTTTACGGGTTGGAGGCAATGATCTAATCAGTTAGGTGACGATAAATGGGTCTGTTTATGGCGTGGCAGGAATTGAGGGACACGGAGCGAAGGTGACAGATTTGGTGGATGGTTGCGTTACACAGTGCTATCTGTGCTATCTAACTATCGGTTTGTCATTTCCCGCGTTAACCCTTCCCTTGGCAAGATAGTAGTTACTAAAGGGAATGAGTTGTTTGTTAAGGGTTTTCGTATTTCTTTGTCGAGTCATGGACTGGCCGCTTCTGGACTACTTCCACCCTATTGTGGTCACTTAGCTAAACTGGCGTTTCTGCGGACGGCACTTGCAGTTGGTGACGTTCCTAGGGATACTGACCAAGTGACTCTGGTGCCCTCTCTCGACCTCATGTTTTTATGTAGAGTTTCGCGTTGGACCGGTTTGACCTTCAAAGATGCGAACCACCTAGGGCAACCTAAATACTTTTTTGTACGGCCTAATATTCGTCTTACAAAGTTGAAGTCCAATACGCTACCAGGTGGCACCAATCCCAAACCTCGTGTTTGTGGGTGAGACGATTGACATTTAAGTACATTCACCTGCTTGTGAATGTGCATGGTCCAACGTAGGCTGGTGAAATCGCTCTCCGAGTAGGACAATCAAGGCAGCTTTTGCCAATCGCGTAACCTATCACGTCGTCTTATTTGTCAAGGGTACAGTTTACATCGATGCCGTACGATATCCACTGTCTCGTGCGATATGTGCGTTTCTCATCGTCGGTCTTCCTGATCGGAACCTTGGACCAACAATTTTGGGGTGCGTCAGATGGTATTTTGAAAAACTCAACCACTATAGATGACTTGGTCACATTCCTTAAGTTACATTGGTTGATGCAAGTGTTTTACGCGACAGAGGACCGTCAGTCCCCTTTGCCCAACCACTTGCAACATAGGTACAAACTATGTTTGGCAACCATGAGTTGACAACGGAGTACGAAACCCCCGACTATTAAACTCACTCCAGTTTGTAACTGTCAATTCTGGCTAGAAATCATAATTACTGACTGAGATAGATACCCGGCCATAAACTGAAGCATTCGTCTTCAATATGCAACTTTCACAATCCGCACTCCTTGGGGAGAGTGGAATGGTTCGACTCCAGTGAGTTTCATAGCCTGTTGTTTCCAATATATGTTCTTCCAGTCGTTCCGCTTGTCGTTGATCGAAGAGAGCATACACCATCTTTCATCGGCACACGGCGTTTTACCTGGGATACAAAGATGCATTCTTCTAGGTAGGTTTCCCATTTTTTCTCATGAAAGAATCCCAGAACAGGTTACTGCCATATAGGTACGATAAAGTGCTTAATTTACTCGTACTTTCCAAATAATGGGTCAACAATGCGTTTACCGCAACTGTACAAACCTAAGGATGGGTAAGTTGGAGAGGGGGTGGTGGTCTAACTACTCAAGAGTAGGTTGTAAGAAGTTGTTTCGTCCAATTGCAGTGTAGCTTGATTTTGTCCACTAAACGATCCTCCTGTATTGAAGGGTGCAACGATATAATTTAGATACACGAACATAAACTACAAGTGATGTGA